GGGTCGAGGTTATCTCTATTGCAATTGACCTGCTTGGAGGATTGAATCACCATGATCCCCGTTGTAGATCAGGCATTCATTTTAGTGTTTGTGGTCCCAGGAGAAGAGGTTTGCTGGTGTTGAAGCAGGGGCACATTCTCCAAAGTTTTTTGTCAAACCAAGGGGAAACAGCTTGTCAGAGCAAAATCGATTGAAAGTGACACAGTGTTGGGCCCAGCTCTGCACCACTGTGAGACTAGCCTTCTCAGGAGAGCTTGACCGAATCTGGGTTGTTGCGCAGGAGAGCTCTTTAGATGGAAGTTTCTAGAGGCTGCTTAGAATTGGTAGGTTATATGTTGCTAGACCCCTCAAAAACGCTTTCAATCAATTTGAGACTCAGTTCAATATTGGTTAACGCTCAGAAGAGCTCCAGAGAAAGTTTTCTCATGATTTGTGTAAGTTTCCGCTGCCTGTTGAGAATTGGTTTGTTGCTGATTGTGGCCAAACTCACAGTCAGATCAGCCATCCGTTTTGGTAAAAAGGAGGTTGTACACTTCCCCATTGGAAAAGTAAGGCTCCCCCAGGAACTTTTTGGCTGTCTGACTCGCAAAAAGCAGTCGATTAGAGATAAAGGTGGCTTACACATTTGTGTTTGTAGTTGCAGTGGCCAAAGAGGAGACACCTGGAAGAGGTGGGCTCGGAATCAGAAAAATTGTGAAATCAGTATCATCATTCCCAATACGTGTATTGGTGAATGTTATTTTGCCTCAGGTACTCAGCAAGAATTCGGCCACCTCCTCTTCTCTGTCATCACCAAATTCTACAACTGTACCATTAGAACCTTTCAAAGAGCAAGAGGTCCCGGAGAGACCATTCATTCCCAGTAGCCTGGCCTGACCTGCAGGTAAATCTTGAAGAGGAACCGGTGGCAGGCCAAGAGGCCAATCTTGAGACAGTCACCGGCTCTCCACTTCTCAATGACTGGGATCAGAAGGAAGTGTGAATGTGATTTGAGGTATTCCCGTTGGTCCTATCCTGTTTTGAAGTTGAGCACTATTGCCATAGAAAGCCTCAACCCGAAGCTGTGATGACAACTATCCGAGCCAAGGCTAAGTGGACGCACTCCACCTGTAAAGCCTTGACCCACAATGGATTCATCTCCAGGTGTTTCTTCCTAAAACATCAAATTGATGGACAAGCAGTTTTTGAAGGAAGCACAGATACCACCAAGGCCACTGGTGAAACCCATGACTGTGGGTTCGGCGTTTGAATTTGAGAGTCCGGTCAATCAATCCACAGATGGAATTTTGACAACTTGAATTCAAAGTGGCCAGCTATTCAAGTTGGTGCAAAGATTTCATAGGTAGCAAGGCTCAATAGGAGCTATGACATTGTTCATGCTACTCCTTCCCTGAAATCACATAAGAACAACATCTCAATTCACCAACACTGTATCACATAGCCAAAGTGCCTTGGCTATCTGTGATAGAAAGGAGCATGAGTGAAAGACATGTATTGATTTGAAATGCAAGCCCCTGAATGAAGAACTGAGAAAGAATGTGAGAAAAATTTGAAGTACAAGGAAGTTGGCTAAACAGGAAGAGGCAATGTTTGATGAATTCAAGGACTTGGTACCTGCTAAATTTACCGCAGTTGGGGTAAGGGAGGATGATTTCTTCCCTCCCAGTGAACATCACAGATTGTCCTATGTGTTGACGGAACCAAGCGCAACAATCAATGGGAAGCAGTACACTTAACCATTGGAGTACCATGACAGCTAGCATAGTCTTATTGATCAACATTTGAAAGCTGGACATAGCTGTGGATTATCAAGCCAATATGAGGTACCATCTCTGGTTATACCCAAGCAAGATCCTACCACAGACTTCTCAAAGTCACAGGTAAAGACCAGTCCCCATTGCTGACTCCTGACAAGGCAGTACAGATAGTTGCAACTGGAAAAGTCTTTGCAGTAGGTCACCAAATCAGTAGTTTGTTTGAAACTTGTGGCAGGACATTCCCTTGATGGCATTAAAGATACCATGGGGGTTGTTCAAAGTAGTCGTCATGCCAACAGGTCTATGTAATTGACCAGCAACACATCAGGTCCATTGTGAAGAAGCATTGGGATATGTGATTGCAAAAATTTGTGTAGTGTTTGATGTTGTACTGGAGTATAGGCGGGCAAGCCCGCCCCAAGGGATAAAGAATAAGATTTATGTTTCATGACTAAGACATGACTTAAACATCAACATTGTTTGATGGACAAAGGGGACCATTGGGTTGCTGGCAACAAGGAATGTTTTTAATGCAACATCTTTTACAGGATCAAGTGTGATACAAGATTGATACCCATTTCCACCTTCATTCTAGCAAGCAAAGGACTCCACAATAGTGATATGTCAATCGGCTGATATAAATTTATAGAAATGAAATTGTCTACGTGAGGTTGTTTGCATTGGTCAGCCATTATACCATCTAGCATATGTGGTCTCTGTAAGGTTTTCTGGTCATATTACCTTACACATTATGTGATGGGCATGTGGCAACTCTTATTTTTAATGCCCAAACTCTTTGAAGACGCCTTCTTAGACATAATTTCAAGCTGGTACATGCTCCTGAGAGAAGAGAAGTATTACATAGAAATTTGCATGAAATCCAGAGAAACATCTCATCACAGAAAGAGAGGCAGACCTTACGTGCAAGCATAAAGCATGATATGTGCTATTTGACAAGCGGATAATGTTTTTGTGAAGAGGAGTCAAATGATCACAAGTTTTATTGTGGCAAAAGGAAGATCCAACATAGATTCAGGAAAAATATACAATTAAATAATATTGTCTAGGTTTTTTTTGTCATCTGGCAAAGAGTCATGTAATCCAAAGTTTTATTGTATCAAGAGGAAGCTACTACATGATGATACTGGACACCCAGTTGATGAGAAACCATGTAGGGAATGTCTTTGATGAACATACAACTTATTGTAACCTGTGAGGATTTTGTAAGGTGGAAAAGATAATCATGGGTCCACCTCTACAACAAATATGTGTAGATTACATGAATATTATGTTCAAGGAGGTAAGTAATCAAAACATGGTAAAAATACAAGGAGACATGGAGAGGCAATGTTAAAATGACAACAATGTAGATGAGAAAATTATTGCAATCAGAGCAATGTGATGGACCAAACGGATACTGTTGGAGGTAGAATTGAAGATGGACTTATACATGATGCTGGCATTCAAAGTTAGTTTCAACACACAAATGTGGAAAAAACAACTTGGACATGCAACAAGGTAATGTGGTTATAAGCTCTAAAGTGTACGCAAGTGGATTACAAGTTGGATAAAAAGCATACAAATAGGTCCTGTTTGATAGATGGCAAAGTGATGGGTTTTATGGAAGTGTAGTTGTCTAGAGAGATAGGATTCACGGAAGCAACTGGCAATATCAATGTGGTGTTTTGAATATTGTGCATGTATAGAGATTGATGAGATTGATCAAAAGGCAAGGAATTGAGATTGGGGTAAGAAAGGTGGAATCCAAGATGTAAATATTAGGTTGGAGTGACGGTACAATGTGTAGATATTGATTGCAAATATAGCTTTGCAGCTTCATCAAAAGAAATAATTCTCCAACTGTTCTGGATGAGATGACTACACTAAAAGTAGAGGGTATGTGAACTTTTTGAAAAGCAGTGGCACAGAAGATACAACATGACGAGTGTATGTTTCCATTTGCGGAGATTTGTCTAAGCTTTGATGCTTATGACACATATTCTTGATTGATTTTAAATGACAGTGTGATTTGCTTATGAAGTGGATTCAAAGAGAATGCTTTTGTAAGACATGATTTTTACAATCAACAGTTTGAAAAAATGTGTCACACCTTACAATTGAAAGTCAACTTGGATGCTATTCAAGACTTTGACAGATCATGGTGATTCCAAAGTCTCTGCATATCTCAACAGTAATTATATTCAACTTTAACCACACCCTCACACTACGCCAGATTGCAAATTTACTGCTGAGTTTAGAAAATTAAAAAGACATAGAAAACTATACACAAGGCAGAAGGGGTCAAACAATAAGGAAAAATAGAGTTTGCATTCCCCTGTGTGTGCCCATCATTTTGCATATTTTTAAAGATTTTTACGGCAGCAGTGTATATACATCAGGTCAGAAACTCAGTTTATGTCCAAAACTGGCAGTCATGGAGGCATCAACCTTGTGAGACAAATAAAACTGCCAACTTTGTGTCAACATCTGGAATATCTGCCCATTCTGAAAGCTGCATGTTTAACTTACCAGATACACATTAGAATGAGTGGTGTGTGTCCAAAAATGAAGAAGGTACAGCAATCACCATCCTCAACAGCAAAGCTAGAAAAGCTTATAAATCTGTTCCGCAAGGGTTTTAGCATCCAAATGGAAACTGTAGATCCAGTATGGGGCTTTCATAATGCGCAACTGCCAGTTTGATTGGAAGGAAATTGTTGTATTTGTGATGGTTGGAAAGTTTCTGCCCAAGCCTGGGTAGTTTTGGACAAAATTTGAGTTTCCGACCAAATACACCCCAAAATCATTTTTCTATGCAACATCTTCGAAACTTAGGGTAAAAATATGTAAAAATATGCAAAATGATGGGAAATCAAAGACTGATTCAACCATATTTTCTTTGAATTTCTCCTACCTCTCATGCATTTCTGAGAATTTTCTACATTTTGACTTTTCTAAACTCCATGGTATATTATTGATTTGGTGTACTGTCATCATATTAAAATCATCCCATCAGACTTGCACATAAATACCATATTGGTATAAGGCAAATGAACACAGCGAGTGACTGTGCTTTCTTTGAGCCTCTCCTTCTGAAATCAATGACCTTGAAGTTCCACTGAATGATTTCATACTCCATTCTATAGCCAATGAGCAGGCGGGGATTGAGGATTAGCCAACAGAAGAAAAGACAATCAAAATGTTGATTTGTGTTCAAGAGATTTTTTGAATTGAGTGACTTACATCTAGGGGCTTTTTTGAAGCAAGGCATGGTCCTTCACCCATAGCACTGTGAAGAGTCAAACAATTTCATTTAGTGCAAGCTCACGAGAGACACTAATAAGGAAGACTTACAAGGTGACATTTCATTAGAGCTAATGGTAGAATTGAAATGAAATTAAGAACAATCATCTTCAACATAGGTCTTTGCCAGCATGAGTCGCTCTTGGAGAGCTTCGCCAAGGTCACATTCAGGAGTGTTGACATCATCCTTGGCAACTAATAAGTTAAAGTGATTTATAATAGACACAGAAATCAAGTTGACAATGATGAAAATCAAAAAAATGAAAGGGAAATTTCAAAAGAGACTTACCACCATTCATTTCAATCAAGTTCAAAAAACTACGCTCATTGTTGACAACTTAGAATGTATTACATGTGAAGTTAGGAACGGCCATGCTGTGAGTAGAAGGATATTTATGTTACAATTTCTTGTTAATGAAGATATTGATCACAGCCAAATGGAAATTGGGGTGACCGTGCTTTCCAGTATTGGAGGTAGACATATCAACATTCCAAGAAAAAAGCTCAAAGGGTTTGAAAATGATGATTGTCATGTTTCAAGTTGATAGATCGACTAACTTTGCATTGTCTACCTTTGATGAAAAAGTGACCGCGATTATGTAAAGCAGAGCATTGCATTGGGAAGGTCACAGAAGTACCTTTTGAAGTAAAGCCACCATTGATCAAAGTTTGATTTGATGAGAAATTTATGAAGAAGAATAAGAAGAACTGACCAACACTGGCAGCCTCAAAGGTTTTGTTGTGTTGTTCACTGTCAGACCTGAGGGAATATGTGGAAAATAAGGTATATATCAATCCTCAAGGGAAGAACGGAAGTTTGAATGAATCAAAAGACTGACATCATGTTATGTAAGCTTTTCATTAAAGCTCATATGTAGTAGATGCTTTCAAAAGTTCATCAGCACTCTTTTCAAAAGCTCAGTGAGTAAAAATTGCTTTTGTAAGCAATTAGCAGACGGATTATTGTAGGAATGGATAAGGCTGTGCATTGTATACCCGACCTGTATACACTGCCATGACTGAAAGCAGAAATGAAATGTTGTAAACATTTTGTAGCAGTCGATGGGCAGACTGGAAATTTAGTCTGAACCTCTTGTTGCACTTGATACGCATATAGAAATTTTGATCTATGGAGCGGCTCAAACTTTTGAGTGAAAGGCAAGATAATTGCTTTTGAGATGTTATGTTAAATTTTGAAATTTGAAAAGACATTTGAACAATTTTGTAACAGATGCTTTTGGACCTTTGGTATGTGATGGGAGATGGTGGAGACAGGTTCACAAAAGAATTGGGGAGGCGATGTTGCATTTAGGCAAAAGAATTTTCAGATATTGAGTCGTTTCATGTGTTTCTTACAGGCTCGGTACTGTGAAAATCTAAGCAAAGTGACTTGAGGTTTCATTTCAGTGAGGAATGAATCCGTTTATAAGTGTTTTTGAAAAACACCAATCGCCGTAAAAGGAAGTGCAATGATAAGGTTTTCCGACAAGAGCATTCTGTGAAAGGATCCAATTTTAGCAAAAGATACAAGTGGACGTATTCAGATTTTAATCCCTAAATAGGAAACAAGTAATGCTAAGATTTATCAGAGATAGGGAAAGGAAATAGCGTGTTCAGGAAAATCTTACTTTTCTAAGTGTTCAACAAAAGTAAAAGTAAAAGTAGATTAGGAAACACAAGGAACATGGAGTTCTGGAATTACAGTCATTGGTGAGACATGCTTTTCAGAAGTTACCTTGTGTGGTTTGAAGTTCTAAATTTTATACATGTGGTGAGAGAAAAGCATGTGACGTTCATAGCCTTGCTTTTTGGACGTCGCTGTTCAAAAGTACATGGTAGAGAGTGATCCGACTGAGTAGTACGGGCTGAAGAAGCATGATGAAAAGAATTTTGTTTTTACACAAAAGCAAAATTGGCTTTTGGGCAAAGTTTGGAATTCAACGCTTATTCGAGTGGTTTTCCCAAATCACTGCAAGGATGAGCAAATGGGAGGTCTAAGGGGATAACTTGAAGGGTATAAAAGGAGACGATTGACAAGCAGTTGAGTAAATCCGCAAGCAAAGCATACTGTGTGGGTGCACCTGCAGGTCATTGATCTCTTGTGACGCAAAGGCGGAGTATGTCACAGTTCCTATCCCCTCCTGTGAAACTGCTGAAATCATGATCATTGGTCACATTGACAAGTCTCAAGGGGGGATAGGGATTTAAGTTAATGTAATTCATTGTGTCTTGTCCCGTAGAGAAACACAGCCATTAAAAACGTTCTGATGTGGCTAAAACAAGTTAATCTTTATTGTTCATCAAAGAAACCCAAGCTGTTTTGGCATATGATTTTAGTTTTAGGACATGTGATCAGCAAAGATGGAATTCAAGCAGTTCCAGGACATGTTGACAAGACTACTTCCTGGAAGTTGATCAAATCAGTCAAAGGACTCAAATCTTATTCAGGGATTCAATCAAAGATTAAAGTGAGACTTTCAACCTCATATATTGCTCTCAGAAGGTGGAATAGAGCTTGAGGTCACATTTCACACCATTAATTGACGGCCTCTTGGGTAAGTAGCTGCAATCCTTAGCCATCTCAGCGACTTGGCAACCAAGTCAGAAAGAGGTACCCTTGCCTCCTCCCAACAAATCACATATCAAAAATTTGAGAAAGCAACACACATTGATGGATTGAGATGAGGCAAGCAGAATGGGAAAGTTATACAGATAGACTCTTGGCAAGTATAGGAAATCAGGCTATGCTTTACAACAAGAGAAGAAAGCAAGGAGATCTAGTTTTGATGAATGGTCAGAATAGGCATCAAATAGTTGGTGGCAGCGGTTGCATGATTTATGATCTTACAAAGTCAAATCAGTGCTGAACAACGGTTGAAATCACATGAAACCCTGTGCCCACATCCACCGGAATCACATTGTTGATGATGGCTCCTAGGAAACAATTACTCTAGATGCATTCAGGGCAGTCACAATCAGATAGAACCCGCCCCAACAGTATGTATATTGGGACATTAACTATTTGGAGACTTAAAAGATGTTCTCTGGAAGCCAACCACAGTTATCCTGTGGCTGTCCCCACAGTCATCTGTATGCTTTGTGAGCTCCTTATGTAGAGCAGATGCTCCCAAGTGGGAATGGTTTTGAAACATCTTCATCTGAGCCTTGCGTCAGATCATGATAGCAAATCATGAATGTTTATTTGACATTCAGTGTTTAAATCAGAAGAGCAGAGTGCATGAGGCAATCATTATTTTGGAAATTCAACCACACTTCCATGGACTCAAAGTACTCTTTTGTTATTGTGTGGCGCAAACAAACACCTTACACAGAATCATCAGTGACATGTGACCTGAGCTTTGCAATGTCAATGTTAGTCTCAAGTCAAATTGGCAAGGAGTGGAGCAACTATTAAGGCAAGCTCAGACTGCAATTGAAGCACTCACATGTGTAACAGGGTGGAGATAGGTAGGCAAATTGAGAGATCAGGTCTGAGGTTCCTGGCAAACTCTCAAAAAATATGAACAGGGAAGGGAATAAGTCAGCTTGAGACAATAACTGAGATATACAGAGATTATATCTTTCGAAAGGGTGCTGGCAAAGTTTTAAGACAGTGCTAGTCACATGTTTCAAGCAGGACAAGATCAAGGGATGGCACGGCTAAAGGTTCAAGACATGTAAGAGATGTAGTGTCAAGTTACTAGCAAAAAAGGTGAAAATGAATGAGGAAATGATGTCCAGAGGATATGAATTTAGTTGTTCCTTCTACTTCTTGTATCTAACATTTCGTGAGAACCTTGGCCGTGTATACATAGATGTGTATAACTTTGGAAGTAGATAACATCACCAGGGACAATGGAAAAGGTACAATGATTCATAATGCAATGGTGAGGTTTAATGGATGAAACATATCTGTTATAGCCACCTGGTTCTTCACTAAGGGCCAGTTAACCCATGTTCCTATTGTGGCATATCCCAGGTTTCTGGGCCCTGATACACATGCGAGTGTCCCAGGGCCATATACATTGGCTGTACAACTTGAATTTTAGGGTGAGTAGTTGTGTATATGCAACAGCAAGTTTGTTTCCATGATTCACGGCTGTAATCAGGAAAATGTTGTTGACCCATCCAAACCTTTTTGTAATCCATTGGTTGTGTGCAGTCTAGACAATATGAACAGCAGCCTATGACACTTGATTCAATGAAGCTTCACTTCACACAGTGAGCAGTAGAGAAAAGACCTAGAGGACGGCCTGCTGTATTACCCAGATCAGTGTTGTGGACACCTCAATCCCATCCGGCAAATGTAAAGACCTTTGATTTTGCTCAAGTTGATACTGCTCTGATTCTTGTTGTTTGACTTTTCCTTTGATATTCATCATGATCAGCACAAATCCTGCCTGAATGTTATGCTTTTCAATCTGGACGTGACAAGCCTGAACCTTGTAGCTCACATTCACAAACTGGGTGTATCTAAACCCGTGTGATGGATTTCAGAGTACCACTAACACCAATTCAAGTTTTCTGGTGCATCGTGATCAGAAGGAGGACCCAGTGATACAGAGTTTACTGTGGAGGTGAACATTGAAAATATGATGTTGGCTCATGGATTGGATCAACTGCAAGCTGGCATGCATTGAGGAGCATATCAAAGAGGTGTTGGAGTTGAAGGTTCAGCAGAGCATTGTGATAGAATATTTTCTATTGGGGAATACAAAGTTTGTTGTGAAAACGTCTAGACATCCTTCTACAGAACACCCAAAGCCTCCTGGTGTGTTCTGAAAACTACGCAGTGTTGGTCATTCAAAGCCTCAAAACACCATAAGGTGAGAACACACCCAAACAATACTTCTGATATGCTGGGAAACCCTTCTGCAAATTTCCAGAACCATCTTTATCTACCCTTTTTGAACTGCCTTTGTGAAATGCCAGTCCAATGATTTCCTGGTTCACTCAAAGTTACATGGAGATTGAATGATATTGTGTCTCCTACATATTTCACAATGCTTATGCCCCTCAGAGCCCCCCCTACCACTGTGTTAACTAGTGTTGCAAGAATAGCTGTGCCCGCCCACCAGCGGGGCTTGCCATCTGTATGCCATCAATGCAGCAGGGATGAATTGATAAACAGTCAGTTAAAGGTTTTATTTTCCCTGGGTCCTCTGCTGAGTCTACTCCAGGAGTCTTTGAAAGTGCCACCTGCAATCATTGCTTCTACTGTCTGAGGAATCTACTACGCAGGACTATCCCAATCCTCAAAGCCTTGTTGATTTGTGGATTGCAGTTTTCTGCTGGAATCCATTTGATAGCAGATGAAGGAATAAGGCATCTGTCAAACCCATTACTGCTGATCCTAGTGGTTTTTTTCAAGTACACCATTGTACATCCTTTGTCAACTGGCCATGTAGTAATAGTAGCCCTGCCTTCCAAGAGTTCTTTAACAGGGAACTCTCTTCTTCTTCTTTGTTGTTGTTCAAAGCAAAGTACACATACACTACAACAGATGTAATTTTTTCCAGGTGTTAAAGGAAAGTATTTGTAGAAAAAACCTGGGACAACAGGATGCAAGCACAAAATCCAAGAAAATGTGCACCATGTTCCCAGATGTTGGAGACATTATGAGTATTTTTTCATATTTACATTAAGATATTGGTAAATGTACTAACAATAAAGGCTCAAAACAATGAACAAACGACTTGTAACAATACATGAGGTATCAAACGTCAATTGTGGCGTGACTAATAGCCTCCTTTTGATGAGTGTTTTTTTCACTTCACTTTGCCACCACGAGACACAGGTGGGTTTTTTCCAAAGAAACAGTCAGATGAGCTCTGTCGAGATTCT